TCGGAAGAAATGGACAGCATGTGAGTTAAATATGAGTGTCACAGCAAATGGTCTGAATACTTATGACCGTGTGATATTTCAGTTTTTTTTTTTTAATACATTTGTAAAACATTCTACATTTCTGCTTTTTTCTGTCAAGATGGGGTGCTGAGTGAACATTAATGAGAAATAAAATGCTTTTTTGAAACTGCTTGAAACTGCTTTTTTGATTTTAGCAAATGGCTGCAATGAAACAAAGAGTGACAAACTTAAAGGGGTCTGAATACTTTCCGTACCCACTGTAAGTCTGGGTTAAATACACTAGTGACCTTGTACTCACAAGTGTACATCACAGTTTGCCAGATGACATCTAGAACATTCTGGTGAGATGTAACAGGATGGTGCCATAAAAAATGGATGGATACTTCTATAAAAAGCTGTAGAATACTTCATCTCCGTGCCACTGAGGATGTTCCTCACCCTAACCCAACATGAATATTTCAACATACGTTGAAATAGGAGTTTTCTCTCCTATTGGAATGTGAAATATGTAAATTCACTCATAATAATAAAACTCACTTACTCTTAAATACTCTTAATGTCACATAGACTGAAATACTAGCTCATGTTGCCTTAAACAAATATATTGTATGCAACAGGAACTTTTTGTTTAAACTTCTATTCAAATGTTGCACAGAGACACATTCTAAATCTGGACTTTGCAGTACATTTCTTTTTGTCCTGCTGGAATTTCAGGCATTTGAGATGGACATGTTAGAGCAAGGTCATCTTTAGGTGATGAGAATGTCTGGTGCATTGCTGTACGTCCTGTCTCGTTAGTCACAGATAATGACTTTTTACGTAATAAAATAACTGTTTTTCTGTTTCAAGTTTCACGTACTGGTGGAATCATTTCCTGTGTTTGTGTGTTTGAGCCTCAGTGATGTTTGCACTGCTTCATATAAAAAGATTTTTTTTTTTTGTAATCTTTTCATCAGTTATTTCATGAATTATAAAGTGTGCCTTTCTTTGTCAATGGCAGGTCAGAGTTATGGGGAGCCTGTCACCTGGATGGACTCCACGGAACAGGAGATCGCTGTGTGGAACTCCATGATTGAAAACCCAAACCACTGGATCGACACAACACTGTCGATCAGAACAGACCTGGCTGTACGATCAGACTGACACAATCTGCTCACATATGTATAATTAAAACCCAGACTGAAGTAACTTTCTGCACTAAAGCACATTAAACCTTTACACATTTAACCTCTGTCACTATGTTGCATAAACATGAACTGTAAACACACACATCTTCTCATAAACCAACACACACACTTGGAGTATTGCAATATGCCCACCTTGATATTTACAGTATACACATATCCCTTAAATTTGATTAATCTGAGTGATATATGTTCTGATTTATTTACTGAAGAAAATGTATGACGTTCTTTTAAACTTTTAAGACTGATCATGTAGTTATGCTCTGTGTAATGTTTAGAGTTTGTAGTACTATTACGTCATTGAAGTGCCCACAGGGAATGACAACTGCTTTTTGCCAATGTTTTACCTGACTACCACCTTGTGGTCAGAAAATGAATTTGTTCTGTGGGCTAAGAACAACTTCAGGGCTACTGATGACATATTAAATGTTCAAATTCTTTTCTTTTTTTCGACGTAATCCTTTTATTTATTTTTTTATTTTTTCACTCAGCACGTTTGTTTTAATGGTGGCAACTTTTTACATTTTACATTTAAATGACCGTTGTCTTGCTGTCATGTAGTGAAAAAGTCAGTGCGTCACATGATGTATTTTAAGATACGTTTCTTTGTATTAGTCTATACGGTAGTTATTTGACTTTGATTCAAATTGAACTATTTTGTATATTATTCATCTCATTGTTGCTTAACTTCGGTCATTTGGGTTAAATATTTTGGACTCCTATATCTTTGCTTACTTTAAGATTTACCGTAAGTTGCTGTTATTATTTTTAGTCTTAACATTTTGATAGGCTGACGTGATGCGCGTTGGTTTTCAG